AAAACGAATGTATCTCTCAGTATACTATTTCGATAGTTATTATTAAGTGCATTCTCTGTTATACAGACGATTCGGTATGGATAAATCATGATAAATAGTCCATCTTGTCTTCGAGAAATGAAAAGAAGAAAAGAAAGATATCGATCAGTAAAGATCAAATATATAAACTGACGTATAATTGTACAAATGAAAACAGAAACAAACGATTTGACTAAAATAAAAGACATCCACATCCATATTTTCTCATTTGGACAATTGACAATTTCAAAATTAATTCAAATAAATTTTAAAAGAATTTTTTTCTTTTTTTATCTCTTTTTACTAATGATTTTTGTTCGAAATAATTAAATATAAATAAAATATTTCATTGAAATATGCTCATTGGTTGTTACAATCCACCAATAGAAATTCATATAATAATCAAACCACCATCATTATTATCATAAATATGGAGTTCTAGTAGTTGTTTAGGTGTGTTCTATGATGAGTAAACATAAGAGTTCTCATTTTAGATTATTCTTCATTTGATAATCATGACAGACGAATATTGGATTATATCTGTACCAGGTAAATCAACACCAGAACAAAATTTTAATGAAGTCTGTCAAGCAACTGGACGTGATCAGCTATCACAAAATCATATGCTTAAAATTCCTGATTTAAAGGTTAAATCATTATTTACAATAAATTTATTTGTATTTTTTTTCTTAGGTTGGAACACTTGATTCACTTGTAGCACTTTCCGATGATCTTGCTCGACTTGATGGTTATATTGAAGGGTAAATACTACCTGTGAATTTATGTCAATGATTTTAAAAATAAATATTTAGAATTACTAAAAAATTAACTCAATTCTTTTTTCATGATGTACTCGATGATGATCGTAATCGACTTGCTGAAAATCTTGCTGTTGGACCAAATGGTGGTATGTTGTTTGATTTAATTTTTTTCTATATTATTTTAATTCAATATTAAATTAGTTGATCCAAGACGTTATGTTACTGAATTTCAATGGGATCATGCAAAATATCCAATAAAACAATCATTAAGAAATCTATCAGAAATTATTGCAAAAGTAAATTTAAATAATTGTTGTATAATTTGGCATGAGGGAACCTCCCGAGGTGTCAAAAAGCTTTTGAGGCGAAATTTTGCTCACCGGTAGGGATACATAGGCTAGAAAAGCCTAAAAGGATATGCGCTCAAGTTGATGTTTGACTGAGATATCGACTATTTATTGTATTTATCCTATAGGGTCCTATCTATGCAGTAAAATCAAAGTTTCGAATTTAGGGCTGAAATTTTGTCCAGACTAAAACCTCAATCAGACAAGCTTGTTTACAAAGTTTCTTAAATTTTAGACAGATTATCTCCCAGATATGAATCTGTCAAAATATTCATGTGAAACCTAATATCCATAAAAAAAGCGTCTTTATGCTAACCTACTTGTATCTCGAAGACAGTCTTTTGAAATTTCTGAAACTTTGTAAGCAAACTTGTCTGATTGAGGTCTTAGTGTGGACAAAGTTTCAGCCCTAAATTCGAAACTTTGATTTTACTGCATAGATAGGACCCTATAGGATAAATACAATAAATAGTCGATATCTCAGTCAAATATCAACTTGAGCGGATATCCTTTTGTTCCCTCGTTAGATAGAAAATGATCTTTATTTTTTCTTTTAATACTATTTATTATTTAAAGGCAGCAACGCATATTGAAAATGAACTTAAATTACGTAGTCAATCATATAATACTGTTAAACAAAATTTGGATTCATTAGTAAAAAAACAAAGGTATGTTGTTTTATTTGTTTTTGATTTTATTAATAAAAAGAAAAAATTTCGTTTTTTTTAGTGGTAGTTTATTAACACGTAATTTAAATGATGTTTTGAAAAAAGAACATTTTATCTTGGGTAGTGAATATTTAAAAACATTATTAGTTTGTGTACCAAAAGCTTTAATAAATGAATGGAATGCTAAATATGAATCATTATGTGCAATGATTGTACCACGTACAGCAGAAAAAATTACAGAAGATCAAGACTATGCATTATTTTCTGTAACTTTATTTCAAAAAGCTGAAGATACATTTAAACATAAATGTCGAGAAAATAAGTAAAAAATATTTAATTTAAATTTGAAGAAGATAAAACAAATGAACGAATTTTAGATTTACGGTACGCGATTTTACATATGATGAAAAAGCACTTGACAATGAACGAGAAAGAATTCGAGAACTTGAAAGAGAACAACAAAAGCTTTATGCAACTCTTGTTCGTTGGCTTAAAATTAATTTTGGCGAAGTTTTTTCAGCATTAATTCATATTAAAGCATTACGAGTTTTCGTCGAATCTGTTCTCAGGTATTTATTTATTAACCTTTTAACGAGAGACTTTTGGATGAGTAAGTTTTGTCAATTTTTTTCGCATAGAACGATATCTTTAATGCAGATTATTAGGGTCTGGGTGGGTGTACCTGTAGTTGTAGCTATAGGTTTTGCTATGTTATCTACACCCTCACCCACCTTCATAGTATTTTATATCAGAATAATTGTTCTTACTTCACCATAACCCTATGATCGAAAAGAAAAAAAAGTGGTACATATATGTCCCATCGACTGTTAAAGGGTTAAACAAATAATTGATGTTCACTAGTATACCGATTCATTTAGTCTTAGACTGACGATAGAATCTCCACTTTAAAAAAATAGATTTCTAAATGTTGTCTATATGAAAGACATGAGTTTTATTTAGAAACTATTTTTTTAATGTATATGATAAATTAAAGAATTTTAAGTTGTAATCGATCGACTATAGCCTGCAATGAGAATTTACTTACTGATCGTAAACAAATATAGAGACACTCTCATTTATGACTAACAGTGCATATTTATCACTAAAGTCAGTTTTGTGAAAAAGACAAAAGATAGATTTCCAAGACTAACATTTTGATGGGTTTCATGTCTGCTAAAAAAGCTTCAGGGAAACCTATATTTGTTACATTGGTTTCTTATTATTTTTAACTGATTAATCAAGTTTATTAGTAAAAACAATTTCGGTGTATCTTTTGAGATTTAAAACTTAATATTTGATTATGGTACTACTGTTAAATAAACAATGAAAGATTAATTCCTATAACATGAATACTGTCATAAAGTGATACCGTTTGATCTCCGTTTTAATTTGAACTTTAAAATTTATCGTATGACAATAGAATTAAATATATAATTATTCGAAATATTTTACTTTTTAATAGATTTGGTTTACCAGTTAATTTTGTTGCCATGGTAATTCATCCAACAAGAAAATCAACGAAACGTTTACGTGACGTACTTGATAATCTTTTTGGTTATCTTGATCAATCTAATAAATCGCGACAAGAAGAGGTAAATGAAATATTATATTTTCTTTTTAAATACCGTTCTTTTATTATAGCCAATTGACATTCCCGGTGTATTCTCTTCCCAACAAGAATATTATCCATATGTTTATTTTAAATTGGATCTTGATTATATTGATATGAATAAAAAATAGAATAAGATTTTCCTTTTATCTTTCCATTTTTTTCTTTTTCGTGCAATTCTTTTATTTTTAAGTGTATATGTGATCATTATTTTTCCTTCTATTTATTTCGAATATAGAGACAAAAGAATTAAATTATATTACCTTCCTACTATATTTACAATATCTTTTTAATTATTTTTCGTCCGTAGATATGACCTATCATATTGTGCAATGTATTTTCTTTTTCTTTTAAAACAAAAAAAAAATCAAATAAAAATAATATGCATTTATATGTTGAAATGATTACAAAAATTTTTTCATTAAATTATATAAAATACGATAAACTAATATGATCGATCAATAATTAGATTATTAATCAAAAGAAATTTTCATAAGTTACTAACCATAGAATGTACAGGAGAGTTTATGTTTCAATTATAAACTAGATACCACACGAGTCGAGATTGTACGCACGAATAGGTGTGGATTCTAGGTTAATACAGTATCCATAGTCACACCCACACCCTCTAATAGGCAGGCGATAGAATCCAAATGGACGTGCAACAATGTTTTGTATCCTTCGTATTATTGTCTGTTATACGCTTCATTGCACTACCTATATACCAAGAGTATAAGTTACGAGCATTCATTTTCTTGACGATGATTACGGACAAAAAAACGAAGAATCAATGCTTTTAAACGATTTTCAACTAAATGCTGATGATATGAGTAATAAAGCTAAGCAACGATTTCCTTTTTATATGGACATACAAAACAATCTGAGTTTCTTTGGTGATACTGCTCTGATAAATGAAAGACTTACTTCAGGTGGACGACATATCTTATGTTCTCAAATCATTCGTAGTTATGAAGTTGTCAAAAGTGTTCTTAACTATCTGACAACGACACCACTTCAATCGAAAGAAAAAATCACTAATGTACCAATGATTGTTATATGTGGTCTACCTCGCACGGGAACAACACTTTTGTACAATTTAATGGCTTGTGACCCAGCCTGTCGAGCTCCTCTTGTAAGCGATATGACAATAAGTCCGATTCCACCTATCTCACGCTCAAATGTCGACGAACACAAACGACGAATGGCAGCTGAAAGAGACCGTTTGATACAAGTCTTTGAAGCAGCTGGAAGTGACTTTGAACGGTATTCCAAAGTGTTTTGTTCATCACATCCATTGTTTCCTAGAGAAGAGGATACAGCACTGCTAGGCGGCAACTTAGATATCAAAATTGCTCTTTATAATCTTGTTCCGAAACATAAGAGTCTTGTCACACGTTTTATGGACAATCAAAACAGTAACTATATGTATGATTATCATCAAACTGTGCTACAGATGTTACATGATGTGGATCCACCTCATACAAATTGGTTATTGAAATCTCCATTCCATACATTTTGGTTAAATACATTACTGAAATACTATCCAAAAGCATCGTTGATTATGGCACATCGTCGTCTCGACGAAGTATTACCACCGGCTTGTCGTCTTGCTCTTGCTATGTGTCATGTATATTTGGAAGAGAACGATTCAGTCAGTTCTAAAAAAATAATTGAAGAGACCAAGGCTATTATGAAGATCTGGATACAGCGTTTGATCGAGTTTCGTATGCAGCATCCACCGTCAGAAAATGTTTGTGACATTCAATATGAAGATCTAATGAAAGATCCCATCGGTACTGTACATCGTATCTACGATCATTTTCATTATCTACAGTGGTCTGATGCATTTGAAAAAGCAATGCGTGCATGGCTGACAGACAATCCTCAAGGAAAACAAGGTAGAAACTTTCATTCACTAGCCGAATTCGGTTTCAAGGAGAACGAAAGCAACGAACTGTATGAGAAATACGAGAATATGTTTCTCACAAGCTGACATATTGATTTTTTAGTTTATTTAAAACTAAAATAGTAATAAAATGAAGTTTTCATTGGCAAATAGGATTACATTTATCAAGCAAAATAGATTTGAGGGTGTGGGTGTAGATGCGAAAATAAGTAAATATTCATAGCCACACCCATCTACACCCACACCCTCAAGATATTTCTATAAATTCAACTGATGCTGTTGTGTCATTATGCAAAAATCAGGATGATTTAAACTGCTTTTTCGTAAAATGTAATTGCTTTTGAGTACTCTCCCATGCTGTAATACACACTACCGATATTGCTATTTGAAATGGCCAATGATGGATGATTAGAAGGAAACGTTTTTTGATAAATTTCAAGTGCTTTTTCGTGAGATGATATTGCTTTCGAGTACCCGCCCATCTTGCTATACACGGAACCGATCTTGTTATACGAAATAGCCAATGAGGGATGATCTGAAGGAAGAGTTTTTTGATAGATTTCAATTGCTTTTTCATAAAATGAAAGTGCTGTCGGGTGCTGTCCCATATTGAAATACACACTACCAATGTTGCTATATGAAGTAGCCGAATCTGGATGATTTGAAGGAAGAGTTTTTAAGCAGATTTCGAGGTCTTTTTCGTAAAATGAGAGTGCTGTCGAATACTGTCTCATGTTGTCATACACACGACCGTTGTTGTTGTATGCAGTAGACAAATCAGGATGATTTGAAGGAACAGTTTTTTGATAGATTTCAAGTGCTTTTTTGTGAGCTGATAGTGCTTTCGAGTATTCTCCCATGTTGTAATATACTAAACCAATGTTGTTGTATGAAGTAGCTAAATCAGGATGATGTGGAGGAAGAGTTTTCTGATAGATTGCAAGTGCTTTTTGGTAAAGTGACAGCGCCGTTGAATACTGTGCCATATTATTATAGACACTCGCAATGTTGCTGTATGAAGTAGCGAATGAGGGATGATTTGCCGATAGAGCTTTTTGTCGAATTTCAAGTGCTTTTTCGTGAGATGAAATTGCTTTCGAGTACTCTTCCATCTTGCTATACACGCTACTGAGGTTGTTATATGAAGTAGCCAGATCAGGGTGATTTGAAGGAAGAGTTTTTTGATAGATTAAAAGTGCTTTTTTGTGAGATGAAAGTGCTTTCGAGTACTTTCCGATATTATAATATACTAAGCCAATATTGTTGTATGAAGCAGCTAAATCAGGGTGATTTGATGGAAGAGTTTTTAAACAGATTTTAAGATCTTTTTTGTAAAATGAGAGTGCTATCGAGTACTGTCCCATGTTATCATACACACGACCGATGTTGTTGTATGCAGTAGCCATATCAGGATGATTTGAAGGAAGAGGTTTTTGATAGATTTCAAGTGTTTTGTCGAAAAGTGAAAGTGCTTTGGTGTACTCTCCCATGTTCGTATACACACTAGCGATGTTGTTGTATGAAATAGCCAATGAAATATGATCCGAAGGTAAGGCTTTTTGTTGAATTTCAAGTGCGTTTTCGTGATACCAAATAGCCTTTTCATAATCACCTTGATTCGAATGCACGAATCCCAGCTGATTATAATAAATCACTTTTTCATGGTTATCAGATGTCTGTTCGAGTAATACGTTATAAAGTTCTTCAGCTTTATTAAATTGACCAATTGTAAGCAATAATTTACCCAATCTTTGCCATCCAGTACCATTAACTTCTTCTCCTATCCTATTAGTAAGTAATCGTAATTGTTGATCATCATCCGAGGTTAATTTTAATTCAACTTGATACAGTTTATTCTTATTGTCCATTTGTTTAACTGCACACACTCGAAAGACGGTGTGCATTGAAAAGAGAATTTCTTCTTCTTCATTAAAATAACTTACCTGTTTGATGGAAGCAAATGGTGCTGATTTAATACAAGGATCAATGTACATAATAAAGAAAATGCCCACTGTGTCCACTTTTGTTGAAGCACATCGAGCGAAATCAAGGGACACATCTTTATATTTACTTGTGGACAAGAAACTGTTAAATGACATAAGTCCACCTATCGTTTTCTGAAGTTTTTCGAAATCTGATTTCATAAGACCTTGTCCTCGATAAACTATGAAAGCTCCTGTCTTATAAGTGCTGATCTGCTGCTCGTACAGCCGTTGAATTTGTTGATGCAAATGACATATAAAAAAAACCATAGTAATAATTGCATCAGCATCCAATGTTCGAAGACCATCATTGAGTATAGAAAAGATAGTGGAGGGGAAAGTATACCACCAAATAGCTAATTGTGCATGATATTCTTTCTCAAAACGGTCAGTGTTAATTGGTTACATGGCATTATTGTTTCGACAATAAGCAGTAAATTGTTTGATGGCTTGTTTACCATATTCCATATCAAGAAGAATTTCCTTGAATATCTGAGTATACATAAATGTTGGTTCCAACTGATTTAAATTATCAGTTAAAGCCATTTGTTTTTCTGTAATAAAACTTACGGCAATTGAGTCCTGATTGCATTGCTTAACAGTCAATTGCAATGCCAGACAGACTTCATCGATGTTTGTATGTACACCTTTGACTTTTTTCCAGTTTCGAGTCCATTCTTGATGTCTGGATTTGTTGCTACAGAAGATGTAAATTGCGTCTAGCTGTGGCATACTATGAATTTTAGGAACCAAATATTGGCCTAATGAGCCTGATGTTATGATGAAGACTCTTTCGTTGTCAACACGGTTGAGTACTTGGATGCACTGGTCTGGTTCAGTGCATTGTTTGACGTCATTGATCACATTCTTCAATTGTGCTAGTGTCTTTTGGCAGCCCTTGTTTGTTGGATCGATGGCGGTATATCTACCCAGAGGAGGAAGTAATTTTGAATCATACGTCGTCCTGGTTGACGAACATAAGATGCTGTAGCTTCATGAAACGATTTATCGTTCTGTTTGAAATGTTTCGGGTTCATACTACGTATATACTGATAATTTGACGATAATTGTATGTAGTTGATGAGCTGAATATTTAACAGTTAAGAAACCAGACGAATATCGTTATTTATATGAGAATCTGATCTCTTTATCTGACTGTTTTTATGGCGCTATTAGCTACCTTTTTTATATTTATGATGATTACTTATAATATAATCCTGTCCTGTGCATAACTCAGTTTATATCGTAAATCAAGGTGAATATAAGAAAGAGCAAAAAAGAATTCTTTTTTTCCAACATTCTTCACAAATAAAAGAAAAAATCACATATTTATTGTGTGGGTGTGGGTGAGAAAAATAAAATACATTCACACCCACACCCTTGTTTGATCCTGAAGGACAGGGATATTGGAAATCTATGGTAATTCATAATCAATTAATATATATTTGACTAAATAAATCTTTTGTTTATTCACACAAATGATAACAAGAAATAACAACAAAAAAGTTCAAAAATATATAACTACAAATACCAAAAATGTTTCTTTATTAAGGAGCATCTGTTGTATCCATTTCATCCAAAAATCTCCAATAATAATCGTCGCTTTTTTCCTAAAACGAAAAGATTATATATGTTTGTTCATTATTTTGTAATATTAAATGCAGTAAAAGCTGTAAGTAACTTACTTTTTCAAGATTAAATACAACTATAGTATAATAACAATCATCTCCGGAATAAGCTGTAGTGATAACTCTAGCATTTTGTTTCTTCCAAAACGTTCTTGTTTTACATTTCTTATTAAAATCACGCTCGGCTTTTTGATAAGCATTATCATCATCATCACCATTACAACCTAATTCGAATTCTACTAAGCTTGGACATTGTGTTGATAATAATAATTCCCATTTCTTTGCATCAAGTAAAGGAAACCAATAACAGCTTATGATCAATCGTTTTAAGTTTGGAGTATGTTTTAATATATATTCGATGTGTTCAAATGTCATATCATCGGATAAAATCAGGTCCAACTTTTTACATTCAGACATCAATGGCTCTGTAATTGTCATTATCTGCTGTGGATGAAACAGGTTATTAGAAAATAATTCATTTTCTATAGAAAATGATTTTGCATTTTGTAAAGTAGGAAGTAATTTAAGCAAATCAACAAAATTTAAACAATCAATGGATAAATATTTGATATTGGTCGATTTAATTGTTTGTATTAATGAGGAAATAGGAAGTTCAGTATTCAAATTATCGTTGCCTTTATTTTCTATGGTAAAACAAGTGAGTAAAGGACAAAAATCTTGATTAAATATCGAACAAATTAGAAATTGTTTATCTTTAAGCTCATTATTTGGATGAGATTTGCTTCCAAATATAATTTTCAATGCTCGTAAATATTTTAAAGATGAAAGTTGATTCCAAAACATAAATAAATTATCATTTGTACAATACATACCATCTAATGATAGTAATCGAAGTTGAAGTAATGAATTAAGAGAATAAATTGAAAAAAAATGTTTAATTTTTTTCTCTTTTCGTATTTTTAATGATCGAATATTGAGAACATTCGTTGATGGAAAAATATTTTTCAGAAAATAATCATAATTGCCTGTTTTTTCGAAATTAAAATGTAATTCTATTTGATTCATGATTCCATCAATTTGTTTATTTAAACCACGAAATGAATACCATAAATCATTCGCATCAAAATAATCAAATATTTCTCGCCATAATTCTACTGGAAATGATTCAATTCCACTATGGTTTATGTTGAACATTATGGTCGACTTTCTCTTTATGCGTGTACGAACACTAACGAAGGAAGATTTTTTGATTTTGAACATTTTGTACTATCGATAAATAAACACGTGGGGAAAAGTTCAATTCAATAGAGAAAAATTTAAGAAAAATGAAGCAATAGAAAGAGAACGATTGTATGTGTATGTCGAAGGACAGAATAGAATTTTGATCTGAACTATTCAAAGCAGACTAGTTCAGATTGAAATATTAAAAGAATGTTTATATGAAATGGATAAGTAAAGAATATTTAAGAGATATAAAATTAACGGTGTTATACACACACTGTTACACTACAAGATTACGTGTGGGAGCTGCTTTGCCTCGTACCACACAGACAATTCTTTCACGTGATATTCAACAGATAACTAAATGTAATTTAAAACTTGTGAGTGGATTTGAAGAACATCCAGACTCATCGCCAACAATGTAACAAAAAGTCTCATTATTTAAAAATTAAAATTAAAAAATTTGATACTTGTATTCAAGTATTTCAGGAATTTCATTCAAGCTGAGAGAGTTTTCTCTCTCCCTTGAAGGTTCTATCATTATCCACATGAATGATTTCTTCCTGAGGAGTTTAGCTAAATAGATTATTGTAATTATTCAGTACATGGTTTGTTATCTTTTGGAATAGAAGCTAATTTTTAAAGAAACAAAATTGTTTATAGGAAAACTGAGGTGTTCCTCTTATGTATCTATTTGAATTTGTTAGGACAACTCATCTATCGGTTAATATTGATAGAACAGCCTCTCATTTGATATTTTTATTGAAAAAAGCATGTTGTTTTCAACAACAATTATCTGTATTAAAACAAATGATGACACGATATTATCGATTTATGCAATTAAAAACCTCTGATATATATCAAATAATTATTTAATTCTTGTATACATTCGTTTCCTTTATATTACCGATATTCGTGGTACATTTACAGATAAAGATCGTTCTTGTTTTTCTTTCCAAGAGTATCGTTTAAATTCTCTTATTCTCTCTTATTTTATTTGTTGCACACTGTGTTTTTTAACTATAATAGTAGGAAATGAATGCTGTTCATGCACTATTATCGTTCTTTGTATCAGAATCGATTTTTCCCATTCATTAGAATTCTATAACTAAAAACAACTTTCAAATACTCGAATTATAAAATTTGAAAAGTTGAAGATAATTTATGAGTTTTTCACTATTTAATGTTATTGTTCAGTGAAAAGATATAGAATTTGCTAGAACACTCACACATATCTATGATACTGTAAGCTAAAAAAATATGATAAAAGTGCTTTAAATATTGATACTGTATTTTCTACAACAAAACATAATACAGATGTGTTTCCTACAGGAATTACGCATTTCCTATCTGATTTTGTAGTTTAGTTCGATGAAAATCATGTTTCTTTTTTATTCAGATAAATATACAACAATATCGATATAGTCATTTTCCATTTCCTTGTTTTATGTTAATGATAAAATGAAAAAATATACATACATATGAATAATAATAATTAGTTGTTATATTTCTAGAGTTATTATGATGCATGGGCAATTGTTATGTTCTATTATGTTATTATCTATGACAGTAATTAAATCAGATGTATCATATCTGCATAACACACATGATAATTCAAAAACTATTTTCGATTGTTTTTATGCTTATATAATTGATGATCGTGATCCAAATTATAAACTTTTTTTTCGAACAAATTATTTAACACCTTATTGTCGACGTCCATTATTAACTGATCCTATTAATAAAATACAAGGATATATAGAAAATACATACACATTTAAAAATTTAAGTTTACAAGGAATTACGAGTAAAGATCTTCTTCAATGGTCACTATCAATAGATGTAATTGAACAATATTCTATATATCTCATCAAGAATAATACCGAATTTGATGAATTTATTTTTAATAATTGTTCATCATTATGGTTTGGTTCGAATTGTCAATATACATTTAATTTAAGTATGTCTATTGAATCATTTGGGGATTTTGTAAAATCTTCATTCAAAGCTCGTGAACAATATGAGGGAAAAATTTTAATACATACTTGTTATTCTCATTTATCTGGATGTTATCGTGGTCCTGAACCGATGTGTTTAGATTGGCGTGAAATATGCGATGGAAAAATTGATTGTATTGGAGATAACTATGGTATCGATGAAGAACGTTGTGATGAACTTGAAATAAACGAATGTAAAAAAGATGAATATCGATGCCATAATGGAGCACAATGTATTCCATTCGAATTCTTTCGTGATGGTCGATCAAGTAAAGATTGTTTGGATGGAACAGATGAAGCTGAAATTTTTCAGACATGGGTATTTTTGATTCCGCAACTACCTCCAAAATGCATCGATTCAATGTTATTCGCTTGTGAAGAGAGAACATGTCGTCAACCACATGTATTTTCATGTGGCGATGGAACTTGCGGAATATTTAATGCTGCTTTCAATCTTGTTACTGATAACCAAGGTGCTTGTCTAGGTACAGGTCGTGCTGCCTACTATCGTCAAGCAATTTATAAATCCGCCAAACGATATCCGAATGATTGTTATCTTTTATTATTCTGTAGACTCGGTTTTAATAATACTCTCCAAAATGATACATACAATATAACAGATTGTTCACGTGGGAATTTGTCATCGAAAAATTGTACACTAGAAGATCTTTCATTTCCTCTTGAACCTATTTTCAACGGTTATTTTCAACCTTTTTATTCAACTGAAAGCTTGATCAAGTGTGATAACGATGATATATGGCCAACATACATCTGTACTAATCCACGATTATGTTTATATTTGCCAAATACAACACATCATATGAATGATTTAGATTGTCGTCCACCTCCTAGATTTCTCTACCACGATTCGGATCTGTCATTTCGTTTAACAGAAAATTCTGAAATTTGTGCATTGATGGGAAATATTAATAAACATAAATCAAATCCATCGTTATTTTATTGTGAAAAATCTCATAAATATATATCAAAACATCGTCTCATTGACGGTATTCAGGATTGTTATTATAATGAAGATGAACTTTATAAAGATAGTTGTTTATTAAATGATACTCAACGTTTTAATTGTACATCAGAAACAAAATGTTTATCACCTATAGGTATCGGTCGTGATCAACCTCAATGCAAAAATAAAGAAGATTTAGAAATTGACAATCCAGAAATGTTTGTATATATACGTCTTTGTAATCATATATATGATTATCCAGAATTAGAACAAGATAATGAAAACGATGAAACCAATTGTGAATGGTGGCCTTGTCACACTCCATACACTCGATGTGATAATGTTTTTCAATGTGCTAATGGTATCGATGAATTGAATTGTCCTAATGTTAATTGTAATATTAATGAATTTAATTGTGAAATTATTAATTCACCTCATAATTATTATTGTATTCCTCAACAATATATTTATGAAAAACCAGTCGATTGTATTAATCATGATTTTAGTGATAATAGTTTATATCGAAATGTGTTTTATTCAAATAATTTAACTTTTAATATTGATAAAAAATATATATCATGGAAAGAAAAGACTTGTTTAACAAAAAATGATATTTGTGGTTATTCATCAACTAATGATCAACAAGTAATATGTAATATTGTTGAAAAAGAAGGCATTCGTTTTAACTCTACATTCTCAGTAGATTTGTATAATAATGGAACATTATGTTACATAGCAAACCATACTACTCGCTATGGTCGTGTTCTTTATTATTTTTCTACATGGAATTTGGGATATTTTCCACCAATAATAAATCAGATATCATTATCGTCTCAACAATCTATCAATATTAAGCCAAAAAAACCTCTCGAACTCAAAACTAGTATTGAATTAATTGAACATTGTAATCGTGGAATTGTTATATTTGAAGGAAAAACTTATGAAAAGAAATGTTTATGTCCACCTAATTATTACGGTAATCGATGTCAATGGCAAAATCAACGTATTAGTTTAACACTTCAGATACGTACAGTAGGTTCACATGAGAATAAACATTCTATTTATGATATATTTATTTATTTGATTGATGATGAAAATGAAATAATACATAATTATGAAGAAATAAATTATATTTCATCAATAGATTGTAATACTAAATACAATCGTTATTTACTTTATCCTGATCAACCAAAAAATCCTAATCATACATATTCGATACGTATTGGTATTTATGAAAAATTAACATTAGATTATTATGGAAGTTGGAATTTATCTATTCCATTTCCATTTTTACCAGTTAATCGTATATCAACACTAATTCGTATTCCATCGGAAAAATTTCAACCATTAACAAAGTGTTCAATTCGATGTGGAACACATGGAAAATGTTTTAAATATATTAATTCAACAAAAGAATTATGCCATTGTGATCAAGGTTATTCAGGTCGTTATTGTAATATAACATATCAACATTCTTGTTCATCGAATTCAATTGCGTTGAATTCATCAATTTGTTTATGCCCATTAAATAAATTTGGTTCAAAATGTTATTTACAATATAGATCTTGTCAATCGAATAATAGTTCATGTCAAAATAATGGTAAATGTATACCTTATAATAATTATATAAATCATGATGCTTTTATTTGTTTATGTCCTGAAAATTTTACTGGATCTTATTGTGAATATCAATCAAATAAAATTGTCATTAATTTTAAAATCAATTCAATTCCATTATCAATTTTTGCTCATTATATTATTTCATATGATGATAAAAAACATGAAAGAATAACAATGTTTAAAAAAATTCCATTTGATCAATATTCAATTGAATTATTTTATACAATTCCATTTAATTTATTATTTATTGAATTTTCAAATAATTATTATCTTACCGTATTAAGAGAAAAATCAATTCGATCTGAAATGATTTCTACTAATATAAATCAAGATTATAAATGTGAAAATATAAATAAACTTTTAAACTCAACAATACTTAATTATAAAAATCTTCGTCGGTTAAAATATTATCAATTACCATGTATAGAAAATCTCAAATTAAAATGTTTTTATGATGATAAATATATGTGTGTTTGTGATAAAGATCGATATTCAAATTGTTTTGATTTTACTCATAATACGTCTTATGATTGTCAAGGTTATAATTATTGTGAAAATAATGGCAGATGTTTTCAAGATAATGTAACTTGTCCATCAACTTCAGTATGTATATGTGAGAAATGTCATTATGGAAGTAAATGTCAATTAAATAGCATGGGTTTTAGTACATCACTTGATGTTATATTTGGATATCATATTAAACCACTTATTTCACTTACAAAACAATCCAAAGCAGTGAAAATAACTGCATCAATAACAATTTTAATGTTAATATTTAGTATTATTAATGGATCACTATCAATATTAACTTTTAAAAGTGAATCTTTACTTAAAGTCGGTTGTGGAATATATTTATTAACAAATTCAATAATATCAATATTAACAATAACTATATTTACAATAAAATATTTTCAACTTGTTATATTTCAAATGAAATCTATAACAAATACATCATTTATTAATTTTAGTTGTATATTAACCGATGTATTATTAAAAATTCTTCTTAGTTTTGGTGATTGGTTAAATGTATGTGTTGCTATTGAAAGAACATTAAATGCTATACAAGGAATATCTTTTAATCAGTCAAAAAGTAGATATATAGCTAAATATGTTATCCCGATAATGTTATTATTAATAAGTATATCGTATATTCATGATCCAATATCTCGTCGAATAATTCGTGATTATGATGATGAACAAAGAACATGGTGTATTCTTGAATATTCAACAAATTTAAAAAAATATGATAAATTTATAAATATATTTCATGTTTTAATACCATTTATAATTAATATCATATCTGCTATATGTATTACTATTCTAGTATTTCAAATGCGTTTAAAAACAAAGAAAAAATCTACATATAAAAAACTTCTTCTTATTCAAATTCAACAAAATAAACATCTTCTCATATCACCATGTATTTTAATATTATTATCTATTCCTCGTTTGATTATTTCATTTCTTTCTGGATGTATGGAATCAATACGTAATCCATGGTTATACTTAACTGGATATTATATTTCTTTTGTTCCACCATTACTTATTATTATATTATTTATTTTACCTTCGAAAACATACAAACAGGAATTTATGTCTATTATAGAAAAAATAAATTTTTTCTCAGAATAAAAACAACATTTTTTTATTTATTATCTATATTATCATTTCATCAGGAAGTTTTTTTTATTAGTTTAAGAGGAACCTCTGACCATGTTGATCCTAAAGGAACAGTTGAGCTAACAAAGTTGAAGCAGCTTGTGAAAGCAAGAGAGAAGAGAAAATGACAGAGTAAAATATCACCAAGAGAAAGAAGCACAGTTATCGAGCATTATTCATTGAAACCTGTTGGTGTTCTTTTCTTCTTTTTATTTTTCATAGTCACCATTCTTCTCTTCCTTCTTTGGCTCTCATCCTTTTTTTGTCAACATGACCTTCTAAAATAATATCGCTCGGATACTTAAAAACTTTGTGGAAATTGAGCGAAGCGTGTTAGTTCCTCTTCATTATATACTGCTACTGAATCTGAAACACCGTGAGATGTCATCCACTCAAGCGCTTTTCCTCATTTAACTATAAATTTCAAATACAAACGTACAGAATATATATTCTTTAAATCAATAGTCGAATGCACTTGTGTTAATATGATTTCTTATTTTTTTTTTCTTTTGCTTTTATTGTTGTATCTACACTCACTTTCTAAATTCTATGTAAAATAAATAAAGTTGTATATTATTTTATTCTCTTTTAAATGAGATAAATTTGAATTTGATCAATTCTATAAGTACTTGATTATTTTCACTGTTTCTATTAAGTCTGCTACAAGACAAATCACGTTTTATTCGATGATTTTTTCATAATGCTACTTGATCTTGAGGGTGTGGGTGTTGATCTATGTTTTGTTTGTATCAATACCCATACCCACACTTTCAACATGGTTTTTCATCGATGGATTTTTTTCGATATAAGAAGACATAATCATATAGACACATATTATTAAGCGCTGTTGAATAATATTGATAGTCTATTCTGATGTTAACATATGTATATATTTATTGTTTGTGAGTTCTTAATTTATGGCAATTTTTATTAATTTTCAACCTCCAAACAGACTGTAGGCTGGCTATGAGATTTACCGATTTTGATTCTAATGTGCAATAGAACTCAAGTAAAATTTTACCTATAATGATTTAATAAATATAAATAAACTTGAATAGTTTATAACTTTCTTTATTGATGAATGAATCAATAAGGTGATAATATAAAAGAAAAACACTAGAATGACCAAAATAGAGAAAATCAATAACATATAAAGTAGATCAAAAAAGAAAAGAAGAAAAAATATGAACGACGTAATAACAAAACAAATAACGCAATTACAAAAGATCATCATGAGATCATGACGATCAACGAAACGAAACATTATCATAGGATAGAAAGAACAGTGAGAAACACATATCTATAAGTTAGTGTCGTCGAGTAACATCTAATGACACTAACACCTGCTAAAATCCTAAACAAGATAGTAGTCAAATCATGAAAGGATTCTGTTGTGTCAGCCTATCAAAATAATTCGAGGAGGAACCTTAGAAAATCCTGATTGAGATTGTGTTTGACCGTGATACATCTTATGAAAAGGAAAATACCAGGATTTCAAACAAGATTCTGAGTTAAATTTGATCGAATCATGTAACTAAGAAAATATGAGAAATTCCAACAGGATCCTTAGTCAAACTTGGCAAGATTCTGGAAAAATCCGACAGAATTTCTTAAGGAATGTCCGGAATTGAGACCGGGATTAGTATTAATAGTAATTATGAAAGCGAATATAATAAATAAAAAGAATTTCATTGTAGAAGTAAATATATTCCATCGATTTCTAATATTGTAGTTATATATTTTGCTCTCACTTTGTTTTTCTTTCTTTTTTTGTATTAAAAAATACTGATATAGTAATCTATGGGTTATAATAATACCATTAAATGAAACAAGTCAATACAATTAAGAGATATTATCTAGATCTAATAGAAAAACAAACATTTCTTTGAATTTTATGCATAACAATGAAATCTACAGTAATTTGTATAGAGTATAAAATCCCTTGTTAATTTGTTAATATCATAATTTTCTATTTCTCTAACAAATTTAAACCTCTACACAAGGACAATATACAGTACTATTCAAAAAAACTTGCACATCCTGTTATATAAATATATTTCCATATATGAGTCACTGTCAAGTAGTTTCTACTACTGATTGATAGCCTATGTCGAGTACTATTAAACACTATACTTCAATATTTTATTCGTTAGCCTTTAGATTCAATAAGAGACAAACATCGTTTTTTCATCGACATCACAATTTTCACTACAATATTATCATTGATATTTTTAAATTCTTCACATAAAAAAAGCTCGAGTTTATCAATATTTTTCAATTTTCTTGTTTCAACTTTGCGTTTTACGATCGACCATAAGTTCTCGATAGGATTAACGTTTCGAGTATCAAATGAACACTCCAATAATTCTAATATTTTGTTGTTGATCAATTATTTGGAAATATTGTGAGTATGATTACGATCATTATCTTGTTGTAAACATCAATTTGGACGAAAATCTTGCCTAGTAGCAGAAAGAAGATAATTTTTTAGTGTATGAGCTTAATATGAACCATTAATTGTCGATAATTTTTCATTGATTTCATTGAGGATTATTTAATTGCTACATCGAAAATATTGAGCAATATAGATTTTTTCTATTTCCGTGTGACACATAGTCGATCATTTCCTCTTCACTGTTTAAGTGAATTTGTTTGTTTCAATTTATTTATATTGTAATAGATAGTCCTTGATGATATCTTTATTTTATGATGAATAGCACGAGTGCACCCCATGCCTCTGTCACAATAATGTAGTGTCAATATATGACAGTTTTTTAAATCAGTAGATTATGTCATGAGTAAATGTTAATATATCAAAAAGAAGAGAAATCACACTTTTATATAGCCACTGTGTAGTATATCTAACGAACATATATCCCTGGAAATTTCAAATTTGTAATTACTTTCTAAGGGTAAGAAAATCGTTATACAAAAAATTAAATTTTGTGTAAGTTTTTTTGAGTAGTACTGTACATCATAGAAAGTTTTTCATTGACATCTATTTTATCGATTAAATTCGAACATCTTTAAATCAAATAGAATCTGATTGATTTTTCGTGTCTAGAACAAAAAAAGAATATAAATTTTAAAATTGAAGCATTCTATTTAAGTTGTTTTTTGTTGCATATAAACATAGAGAAATGAAATTGCATTTTAACAAAAGTAATTTGCAAAAAGAAAGCACTATGTTTATTTTCTTCTGTAATCACAATGTTTAATTTCTTTATTGTATTCAATATATATATATATATATATATATGAATATATCTTTTGCGTTTCTTTTTTTTGTTTTTTTGTTATAATTAATATTTGAAGTGATGACGTAGTTTTACTGGAATTTCCAAACGAACGTTTTTTTTTTGTAAACTCGTAATTGTAATGTTGTATATAATTTAATATTCTTAGTTAAGATTTTTCTAGAACTAATGGAAAAAACAAACACCTTGATTTTTACTTCAATACACATATAGTTTTGAAATAAAAGACAAAAACCGTTTGACACTCTTATATATTAAACTTTTTTAAACAGTCAAACTTCTTCTTCAAACATAATACAATCCATAATGCATTATATTCAACGCGTTGGTCAATATATAACCAATTTGAATTTATTTGAAGATGGTACTAATGATGAACATATAAAACGAAATCAAATTCTTTCTACTCGTTTCTATATTATTATATTCATTATAATCTTATTTATATTTACTTTATTTACAACATTAACATCGGAAACGACTATTGTAACAATTTCAAATCCAACTTATGATAAATATGAAGATTTATACATAAAATATTCGAATACATTAAAATGTTCATGTCAAGAAATTTCTATTTCTTATAATAAATTTATTAATATTGAATTAGAATATCATGAAATTTGTTCATCCGATTTTATTAGTCAACGTTGGATTGATTTTTTATTTTATGAAAATATAAGTTATTTTTATGAACTTGATTTTCGTCGTAGTGCTTTTATACAATTTCAAGCTTTAAGAACTTTATGTCAACAAGCACAATTAACAATTAATGATAGTTTAATACAATTTTATTTATTAGAATATATAACTCCTCAATTAGTTTCATTAAATACATTTACAGTTCAAATTGAATCTTTTATTCAAATATTTCAAAGAACAGCACCATCATTCTTTCAAAATTTTATTCAATTATTCCGACATATGACAAATAACAATCAATTATTTTCTGCAATTGATAATCTTTTTTTTCTTCAAATTGCTGCATCTGGTGATATAATCGACTATGTAACGATGAATAGTATTTATTATCAAGAAACAAAAGCAAAAGGATACCATTTCGATTGTAGCAATAATACTGGAGTAGTAAATCAAATCCAAGTAGGTATTTTTGTTGATATTATTCAATATGAATATCCAGGATCATGGTGGGTTGATAGAATACCAATAAATAGAAGTTCAACACCTAATATAACAGTTAGTTTACCTGGTATATATATGGGTTGTAATCCAATTGAATCATTACTTTTAACAACAACAGAATGTTTTTTTCAAGAAATTTGTTTAAATACAATTATTTCTTATGTTAATTATTCAACAACAACAACAATAGAAAATAATCCTTTTAAAATACTTAATAATACATCAAATTATTCCCCACAAACAACTATTGAAACATTAGTTTATGAATTATTTATTGAAAAATGGATTATTAATAAATCTTTTATTCAATATTTTAATCAATGTCAACCATCATATTGTGAATATATAACTGAAGAGAAACATAATATTCTTTATATTTTAACCAATATTATTAGTTTATATGGTGGATTAACAATTGTTTTACGTATACTTATTCCATCGATTATTAAATTTTATCGTAAGAAAAAACAACAACAACAAGAAATTCATAGTATTGATTCATCAATACCAAACGGTATTGTTTTTTCTTAATGAATATTTCGTATATTTTTTTAATTATTTAGTATCAATAAAAACTCGTTTATATTATTTATATCAACATATAATAAATTTTATTCGAAATTTTAATATATTTACCAAAAATAATTTGACAGATTCTCATACACGAAAAAATGAATTAATATCAACTCGAATATTTATTATTGTATTTATTATATGTTTATTAACATTTACTCTTTATACTTTTTTACAAATACAAACAAAAACCATAATAATTAATAATCCAACACAAGTTCAATTTGAACAATTAAATAATATTTCAGCTAATAATTTACAATGTCCATGTCGTCAATTATCAATTTCCTATGAGAAATTTATTATAATTCAACCTACATATCATCAAATATGTTCAAGTAGTTTTGTTTCAAATTTATGGTTTCTAAACGATTTTTGGACACCAACTCATGATTATGCTGCTCGTGATTTTCGACATATGGCACCTTATTATTATATTATTTTACTTAAACTCTGCCAATATGTGAATACAACAATTGAAAATAGATTAACACAATTTTATGTTAATGAATATGTTACACCACAGGTAATTGATATTAATATATTTTATAATGAAATAAATGCATTAATTGAATTATTTCAAACAACAACACAACAATCTCATAAACAATCATTAGATATAATTTATGGTATGACTTTTAGTAATCAATTCATTTCTGCAAAGATTACAAATGTTGCTTATACGATTTATAATGATGGAATAAAAGAAGTAGCTCATCCATTTCTATTAGATTATGATAATTGTACATGTGTTACTGATCGTAATTGTAATGGAAAACTTGGTTTCTTTATAACAGATGATATTCAAGATCAAGATGTTGTTTCAGGTATGTATATAAGTTGTTATTTTTTTGATTCATTATTATTAAGTACAATCGAATGTTTTTATGATGATCAATGTATTAAACGTATTAAATCTTATATGTATCCATATTCAAGTATTTATAATATATTAATACCATTAAACACATCCATACCAAGTCGATATTCAAATAAGACATCATTTAAAACAATTGTAGACAATTTATTTATTGAAGATTGGAATGTTTTATATTTTTATGAAAAATATTATAGTCAATGTCAACCATTATATTGTTCATATGTTGTTGAACAACATCCTGATATTATTTTTATATTAACAAGAGTAATAGGTATATGTGGAGGTTTAATTGTTATCTTGAAATTTCTAATAAAATTTCTTGTGAATATTTTTCGAAGAAAAACTATTGATCGAACATCTTCAAGTATGAAAATATATTTTTCTTTAGTACTTAATATGTTTTTTGTTGTTTCAGCTGAATCTGATACAATCTTTAAGAGAATTAAAAAAAAACTTATTAATTTGAATTTATTTGATAATAATTCTTCAAATATTCGAATACAACAAATAACAACAAGAATTTACATCACTTTTTTATTAACAATTCTTATTATTCTTATTGCGTATACATCATCAAAAAATGTTCTTATTAATTCAACTGTTACATTAACATCTCAAAATCAATATGAAAATTTACAAATATTATATCCGAATACTCTTAATTGTCCATGTAATGAAATATCTATTAATTATCAAGAATTTGTTTATATGAAACCAACATATAATCAAATTTGTTCATCAGATTTTGTTAATGAACAATGGATTAATTATTTATATAATTTATCTGCAATAAATGAAAATACCTATCGTTCAACAGCAGCAGCTCAATTTTTAACTTTATCGTCATTATGTCAATTAACTCAACAAGCTGTTAATAGTAGTTTAACACAATTTTATGCAACAAAATTTACTAATATTCAATTGATTTCTTCTGAATTATTTGAAACTCAAGTTGATTCATTTATTAAATCATTTCAAACATCAACACCACATATATTTAAAAGAACATTAGATATTGTTCGTGGATTAATTCAAGGTAATGCATTAATGACAGCTTATGAATCGAATTGGAAATTTACTGTATTAGCTACAAGTGATGCTTCACCTGTATATACAAATCCACAAACATACGGTAATTTTTGTAGTTGTGCAACATCATCTGAATGTACACAACCAGCAATAGTTACCGATAATTATCCTTTCGGGTTACCTGGATTGTTAATTGGTTGTTATCCACTTGAAACTATTTTACAATCTACATTAGAATGTTTATATAATGAAACATGTTTAAATTCTATTCGATATTTTATTGATGAAAATATATCAGATATTAATTTTACAATACTTAATCCATTTTTATCATCAACTAATTTCTATGGAATTAATGATACTATACAAGAAATGGTTGATAGATTATTTATTGACAATTGGTATATTAATAAATCATATAAAAATTATTTTCAAAAATGTCATTCTTTACAATGTAAATATTCTTATATTCAAACATTTAATATTATTTATATTTTATTAACTATAATATCTTTATATGAAGGTTTATCACGTTCATTAAAAATTATTTTACCACCTTCTATTTATATTATTCTTTGGGCTTTTTATCGAAGAAAAACACGTATAACACCATTTATAGAATCTAATAATGCAACTCTCGAATAAAACATTAACTTTGCTTTGCTTTGCTTTGCTTTGCATTTTATGTTTTTCTTATAAGCTTATAAAAATGTATTTTATTCAGTTATGCTAATGTTCTTGCTTATCAGTAGTATCTTCTTCATCATTTCCATTAAGACACACAGTAAATGATTATATATCCATTAATATTCTTATCTTCTCTTTATTTGAGATTCTTATGATAAGTGATTGTAGTGTTTCATGTTCAATATCTTAGCGTATTTTTCTTTTTTTGTGTTAATAACAACGTTAAAAAAGAATCAGCATAGTAAGATTTATCTAAATTAAATTCTTTTCCATAACGTTTTTCTTTTCTATTTTAACTAATTGCGCACATATAGTTTACTATTCCATTTCTAAAAAAACGCGTAAAACATTTTTTTTGAAAGAAAAAAAAAGTTCATCAAATGTAAACAGAAGTTTCTTTTTCTTATATTTTAGATAAACTGGAGAAAAACAAGTTGGTTAGCACATAAATTCACATACATTATATTATATATTTGAAGAGAGTGAACAAAAAACAAAAGTTGTCTGTCGATATGATCGATGCACCATCATCAACAACATTATTAACGATGAATGAGTATATATTTTCAATGAAATGTTTTGTCTGATAAAATATTACTTTTCTTATGTAGAATAACTAATAATTCATCGAAAAAATCATTTTTACTTAGACTACTTAGTCTTATTGGTAGTATAATTATAGGTATCGGTTTAATTCTTATTCTTATAATGGTTTATAAGAACATAAGACCATCATCATCATCACTAAATGTAAACATTACTACAACTGGTATGTATCATGTTATTGACCAATTAAATTCAAAAAAAATATATATATTTTAGAATTAATATCAATAAATTCAATGAATAATTCTATTTCAACATCTTCATTACTGATAAATACTTCAATTAGAACTCCATCAAGTTAGTAAATAAACAAAAATAACTCGCATATCTAATCATTATTTGTATAGATCCTAGATGTGCTCAATTAACATTCGATTTAATTAAGAGTTATCCTATGAATGACATACCTTACGGATTTGCTATTGGTGATTTAAATAATGATAATATGCTTGATCTAATTGTATCTCGATATACAAATAATGCGATGGATATTAATTTTGGTGGCGAAAATGGAACATTTCAGTCACAAGTAACCTTAAGTTTTATTAAATATCTTGGATATATGAGTATTGGTGATGTTAATAATGATCAAAATGATGATGTTATTATTGTTAATGAAAATAAAGCAAGTATTATGGTTTTACTTGGAGCGGGTGATGGAACGTTTTATCATTATCAATTTTTACCTGTTGGTGCTACTCCATTTGATGTGAAGATGGGTGACTTTAATAATGATAACAATTTAGATATTATCGTTAGTGTTACAGATAATAATGTTGTTAGTCTCATTTTAGGATATGGTAATGGAAGTTTTCATGTAAGAAATACTGTGCTAACTCTTCGTTCTCCAAATTATATATCTATCGCTGATTTTAATCAAGATAATTTTCTGGATTTTGCTGTATGTGAAGTCTTTGATAACACCGTCAGTGTCTATCTTGGATATGGTGATGGAAATTTCCGGCCAAGAATTCCTCATTTACTAACCGCTGCACCATACACTTCAGATATTGGAGATCTTAATGGTGATGGACATATAGATTTAGTCATAGGACATTCTGGTAATAATAATATAAGTATTTTATTTAATTACGGAAATGGAAGTTTACAATCACCAATGGTTTACGGAACTGGTATATATCCTGCAGAAATAGGTATTGCTGATTTCAATGGAGATACTTATTTGGATATTGTTGTTGCAAATTACCAAGACAGTAGTTTACTTATATTTGTGGGGAAAGGTGATGGAAGTTTTCCAACAAAAATGCTCATCAATATTAATCCAAATTCTTATCTTATTATTGTCGTTGATTTAAATAATGACGGTCGAATAGATATAATAACTGCATCCGAAGATACACAAACTATCGATGTCATTTTAAATACTTGTTGAACAGGACCATTAATCTTATTGAACATTCATTATATATATATATATATATTTATTAATTTTTATGTTTCACATTAAATAGCATTTCTTACTATAAATTATTTTCGATTTCCTTATATCTATATTTTTATCAATAAATAACCATGAAATTAATATTAACACTCCATACTATCATTTTAGAATCGTTTCTTTTAAAATGAAAACTATATTTTCAACCAAAGTGCATTTATCGTTAAGCAAAATATTAAAGTAGATATAAATCATCTTGAATCATTAAGAAATAAATTTTCGTTTTGCATTAGTGCATAGGCGGCGGAACGATTTCATTCTAGGGTAGGCTCAATTTTTCAAACGAATCACTCAAGATAGCAAATTCAGGGATGCAGAATATGCTCCTCTGCGCGAACGCGCGTGTGGGGAAATTTTTGAAAAATTATTGACTTTGAATTTTTTTCTATAGAAAAATAATAAAGAAATTTTTTAGGTGAAAATATTATTTTATACGCAAATGATTTGATATGTTCATTAGAATAGTATATTTTAAACATGTCGTTGTCTCTTCTCTCTTTTCATTTATTTAACAAAAATATTCAAAAAAAAACCTTGGTTTTACTTGAATATTGAGGGAAATTTTTGATGGATTTTTCTACGTTTGGGAAAATTTTTAGTTTTAACGGAAGATTCTGCACTCCTGAGCAAGTTAGACGAATATTTTTTTAACTGTTAATTGTTTAGTCTTTCTTGCTGACTTTAGTTACTGTTGAAATTTAATAACTACATGATGTTTTATTTTCTTGAACGAACACACGAACTGAAAGTGTTACATAGAAATACGACTTAAAAATGGTGAAAAAATTGATGAAAAAAAAATGAAACTATTCGCGCTCAAAAGAAAGTCTTTCAACTTTGGTTTTTTAAGATAAAACCAGAATGGATGTATTTCAGATCAAGTACACCTAACTTTTCTTTATGTATACTCAGAACTATTATTAGTCTTTTGTGTTTTACTTTGAAAAGACATAATCTGACTTTTTTTAGCCGACATTCCTATGTAAAAAACTTTGACGAGAAAATCAACAGAAAAGTTTTTAAAAATCTGTTACAATCATACTCTTTTAATCGATTTTTAATTATAAATAACCGAAAAAAACAACTTTCTTTGATTATTATAATGAACTGAGATTATAATCGATTAGCAGTTCGTGTGAAAAACTGATTTCTACCTAAGAAAAAATGAACAAACTGAGACCCATTTTCATCGATTATAATCAACTTTTTTCATGAACTTTTAATTGATTATCACCGCAATTCATCGTAATAGTCAAAGAAACTTTTGTTTTTTTGGTTATTTCTGATTAAAATCGATTAAAAGCGTTTAATCATAACCGATTTCTAATCTTTTTTTAATGGAGTTTAATCTGATTTTTATCCTATCTTTTTACATCGGTTGTATGCAAAATGAATAATGATCTATGAGCGTCTAAAATTCAAAACTTATTTTAAACAGAAGTTTAAAACAAACATTAAACTTTGGAGTTTGAAAAACAAACGACTCGATATAGATACAGACGCCACAACAGACAAATCCCATAAAAACACTTCAGTAGACACAAGTTGATAGTAGAGAGAGTGTGCACCAATCTTTTAACAATAAGACATCTATCCGAGCATGAAAACTAAACTATAATAAAAAAATTTTTTATGAAATCGAGCCTACCCAGGCCTTTCGTAGGACATATTTTGAGCCTACCCAAGCCTACCCGTTCGCAGTCTAGGATAGGCTGGAGCCTACCTAGGCCTACTACGCTCCGCCGCCACTGCGCTTGGCCGTGCCCATATATAACTTTTCGAGAAAATTATCATCATGTTTATTTTTCTAAATGTTTCATACAAAGGTGAACAGAAAAGAATTTCAAAACTGTGTTCAAAACTTAGTTTTAATTTAAAACTATTTTAAATTTTTTGCTCTTCATAATAACGAAGCAGACTATTCTACGTATGAAATACATTGTGGGAAGTAAGAGATTTAAATTTTGGCTCTGATCCACACTAACTCATGATCAAATTGGTCGATAGTCTTATCGAATATACTCCCATCGATTCTTACCAGATCTGATTAGTTTTTAGATCAAAATGAACCGATTAGGATATAGCACCCATTAATTAAAAGTAACAGAGTTTCTTATGAACTACAGAAATCGAAGAAAACAAATTTAGCTAAGGTATAAAGTTTATTAAAATTTAAGTTCTGTTTATTTTTATTATTTGATAATCATAAAAATACGAAAGACCACAAAATAATCATAAAATATTTTTAAAAATATTGTCCATCGTAAAGCTTATAATACTTTTGTTTCTGCTTCATCTTTGACTGCACCTTTGATTATACTGAGCGTTGGTTGAAATGCTTCTATATGAATTTGAGATGATGGGTGACCACATTCAACTAATAAACCTTCCATTTTATCCATAAATGGCACCGAACCACATATATATACTTGGGTATTTGCTTCTAATACTTTTTCTAAATCATCTTTTCCCAATCGTTGATCTTTAAAAAATAATTGATAATGCCCTTCTGGAAGTATTGATTTAAGTTCGTCATTAAAAGCTGCATATTCTTCTGAGTGTACACAATGAATTAGAATTGCATCATTTGATTTTCCTTGTTTATTTAATTCATGAATCATGGATAAAAGAACTGTTATGCCAACTCCACCTCCAATAAATAAATGATGTTTACTATTTTCAACTAATTGGAATGTTCCAGCTGGAAAACTTGCTAATATTGTATCACCTATGTTATAATTATTTATTATTTCATTTGAAACAACACCTTTAATCTCATTCATATTTTCAATTTTAATAGCAATCGAATAACTTTTACCATCAAATGGTCGAGTAAGACTATAATGTCGATTATGAAAATTTCCATCTTTTTTTATCCGAAGTGTTAAATATTGTCCAACATGAAACTTAAAGATTTTTCCATTTTGAGGACGTTCTAATGTTAATGCAACTATTGATTCATGAGCAATAACTTCTTTCTTGACGATAATTAAGGCCACCCCCCCTCGAAAAAAGTCAATTTTTTTCAAAAAAATGAAAACTGAGATAAATGCATAGGAAGATAGCCTGTCATCTGCTCTTTCATAATTGAGAAAAGTTTTTTGCCGATATGTCATTTTTGTCAAAAATTTTCCAAGATTTCTGTCACTCCCTATTCGAAAAATAAGCGTTTTTTTCAAAAATCAAAAAATGTTTTTGGCTTTTTCTCAGTTTATGGTTTTTCAAAAGCGCAACCCAAATTTCTCTGTCTAGACTCAAACAATATACATATATTTTTTTTTTGTTTGAAAGAGCATGTCGAGATGCAGGGCATGATGGGACCCTTTTTTTCAAATTAAATTTTTTTTTTGAATACATATAAGCGCTTAAATTATTCGACACCCAATTTTGAGGATTTCTGGAGTCCTTGAACTTGTGATATCTTTTTTTCCACTGAAAAACATGAATTTAAAAAAAAGGAGCCCATCATGCCCTGCAGTTTGACATGCTCTTTCAAACAAAAAAAAAAATTTCATATATAGGATGAGTCCAGACGGTGAAATTTGAGATGCCAAATCAGCTATTTTGGGCCCTTGTTTGGTGAATATCTCGGCTTAACAATATGATATTGGGTTGAAAATTTTACCATAACTTCTTCATTATAGCCCTAACATACCCTGAAAATTTCAAATCATTTGAATGCTCCTAAGTCAAAAATCGATTTTCGAGGGGGGGTGGCCTTAATGGAACAAAACCTTTATCTTCTTCGTTTGGACCAAGTTCATCATATAATTGTTTTTCTATGTCAATAAAAATATTTGCAATAATATTATAAGCAGCTGCCCATGCATCTAGAATATCTTGTGTTGATTTTTCACCTAAGAATTGTTTTATTGCTAAAAGTAAATATTTTCCAACAATAGAATAATGTTCGGGTTGAATAGTTAATGCACGATGCTTATGTGCAATAAGTTTTATTTGTGGCATAAGTATTTGTAAATTATCAATATTTTCAGCAGCAAAATAAATAGTATTTGCTAATGCTAATGGTTGTGTTCCTATTCTTTGATTTGTTTGATTAAATATATCTAATAATTCAGGATGATTTTCAAACATTTGTTTATAAAATATTGATGTTATTTCTTTTCCATTTTCTTTTAAAATGGGTGCAGTTGATTTGATAGTAGCTTTTTGTTCTTGTGTAATAGACATTTTTCAACAAAAAAAAATCTAAATAGAAATCAATATCAATATAAATCCAGAATAAATTGCATACAAACTAAAAGCAATGTTTTTTTCATAAGTATATTTTAGTACAAAAGAATTTTGGCACTCAATAAGTACTGCTCTATATATAAATATATATAAAGCATGCTTTTATTATGCGCTGATGCGGTAGACAACAAGCAAAAAGTGAGCAGTGAGTGGAAAAAAAACTTGTTGATCCAGATTCAGCAGAATTTAATATCAAAGGGTGTGGGTGTGGATCCGAGTGAGGTTTGATCGAATGCCGACACCTGGTCACCTGGTCTCACACTCTCAAAAGAGCAGCTGCTTGATATTCCATTGCTAGCCTGAAATATTGTTGTAGATGCACTGTTTTCTTCCCTCTGATAAGGGTAGTCTTTTGTGCACAGTCCTTCTTGTGCTTTTATCTCGTCTTTACACAGCTCACCCGTTCTTCGAATGTGAAGCAAACACCGCGTGTTGCAGTTTGGGTGTGGGTGTGGATGTGGGTCTGGGTGTAGTGGGTGTGGGTGAGGTTTGATCGAATGCCGACACCTAGTCTCACACTCTCAAAAGAGTAGCTGCTTGATATTCTGTTGCTAGCCAGGGTATGGG